AACGGCTGAATTATTTTCTTTCTGTTGTTTGTTTTCTTTTCTTTCTTTCTTTTTTTTTTTTTTTTTTCCAGCAATGCGGCCACTTAGCATGTCTTACAGTTTTGACTTGTCAGGTAAAAAAAAAAAAAAAAAAAGCTCTTTCACACCTGACATGAGTCATGTGGTTTCTGTGAAGCACACTCATTCATCTGCTTGTTCAAACATGTCAAAAAGAAAATTGAAAGGCTTTCTTCTGAGCTGTGGTCAGCAAAATAAAACATTCTGCCATTTGGAAGCAATGTACTTGAAATAAGTATCACCTCCCGAGCGATGATGGACTGGCTGTTGGACCACACTTACGGATACAGAACATGGCTGTGTGATAGTCCTTCAGACCCCTGCCTTAAGAGAACACAAAGCTTTGCAGCAGCAGCCTCCATCTGCCCTGGTCTCCAAATCGTCCATATTTAAGAAGCTAACACCAGAGGCTTAGCTGCTTGTTGACTGATGCGCCTCCCTGTGGGCACTGAACTCAGTGTGGGCACTGAACTCAGGAGGCAGAGCCAGTCCTGCATGCTGTGGAAGAGCACAAGCACGAGCTGCAGGAGCTCAGCCTGCAAGGCAGACAAGCCCAGACCCTTTCCATCTAGAGGGGAAGTGCGCAGCTGTCACTGACCAAGCTTGACCTGTCAAACTAGCTCCCTTATAAAAAGAGAAATGTGTACGAGCAGACTTCCAGAGACCACCTATACTTTCTGTAAAATAGTTTGCAGATTCAAGCTTTTGATTTCACAGCCCTCTCTTTTCCATGTAAAATGAGATAAGATGCTGTTACTAGTGTTCTCTTCCAGAATATTTTTTAAATGCCATGAAATGTCTCTTAATCTTAAGTTACAAAGAATTGTTGGCATGCTTTACAAATTTATATTTAAGGAGCCAGAGAGTTCTAGTAACATTTTCTTAATTGACTATTTAAGCTATCTTCTATCTACAACACTAGTTCCCAACTGTTTTTAAATTTTCTCTTATTTTTGTAGGTCTCAGGCATGACTCTAGTGTTAAAATATTCAATTATTATTTTTGACTGACCATCAAAGAGCCTTTTCTATTTTCTTTATCCATTTGGCATTTTTTATTTATTTTATCAACCATTTGCAGAGTGAGCCTTTAAAAAATTTAGTCCAAAAAAAAAAATTTAGTCCAGAAAATAAACTCAGAGACATTTTGGAGCATTTTTGCTTACTACTAATCATCTAAAGTTGGCTATATAAGGGCTGAGCATGGTGGTGCACACCTGTAATCCCAGGTACTCGGGAGGCATAAATAGAAGGATTGTGGTCCAAGACCAGCCTTAGGCAAAAACACAAGATCCTATCTAAAAAATAACTAAAGCAAAAAAGGGCTGGAGATGTGCACCTGCCTGGCAAGTGCAAAGCCCTGAATTTAAAAAATTAAAAAATTTTAAAAAAAGAGAGAAGTCCATATAGATCACAAACACTGTCTCTTCTGAATATTTACTAAACATGTCTCCATCAATTGGACTGTCAGGGAATGTGGGTTAATGGTTGGCATAAATTAGCTACAAATGGCTGATGAAGACAGTGTGCATGCTCACCCCTTGTGTAGAAGTCTGTTCTGTGTTCTCATAGGCTTGTGATGTGTTCTCATAGGCTTGTGATGTAGTCTGTGTTGGAAAAAAGCTCTTAACCTGGCACAGTGGTTCATGCCTGTAATCACAGATACTCGGGAAGCAGAGATCAGGAAAATAGCAGTTAGAGACCAGCCAGGGCAAAAAGTTAGTGAGACCCCATCTCAAAAACAAGCTGGATATGGTGACACTCATTATAACCCCGGCTATGCAGGAGGCATATGTAGGAAGATCACAGCCCAAGACTGGCCCCAGACAAAAAGCGCAAGATCCTATCCGAAAAATAACTAAAGGATAAAGTGCTTAGGGATGTGGCTAAAATGTTAGAGCACCTGCCTAGCAAGAACAAGGCCCTGAGGTCAAACCCCAGTACTACCAAAAAAAGAAGGGGGTTAACAAAGAATCTTGGTTTCACTACTTATATTTACTGTAATTTATTTTGTGCATTAATGTACCTTGTGATTTCCAAGTGCTTCATTCTTGATTTTTATGCTACTTTCATGCTTTTCATTGTTGCATTTTGATTATTAATTAAAATGTTCCAAGTTATAAAATGGGAAAAATTAATCCAATCTTCTAATTTAAATATAAATATAAATCCAATATTAAATATTTTCAGAATATGAGCAAACTAAGGAGCAAACATTTTAAACACATAGTCTAGACAATGACTCTGAACTTAAGTACAGAATAACGCATAAAGAAGTATATACTGCTGCTGAGGCACAGCTTATGAATACATTCTTAGTGAAAATCTTAACAGTCCTTTCAACATCAATGGAGGTAAGTATAATATATATTTCCTATATAGATATATAAATATATAATCTGTATTCTAGTCACATTTCCTCCAACTAAATAAAGCAGCAGACACAGAAAGTTATTAGATATAGTATTCAATATCATAAGCATGCATTTTAGTCTTTGAACCTAAGATACGTACTTTTTAAAGCCATATCTAAGTATTTCACATCTTAAACATTTTATACTTATAATATCACCAGCTGTTTTCTTAAGAAATTTCCCTTAGACTGAAGAAACACTTGTTTAATCCAGGTGTTTGCTTTTTCACATATGATACATTGGAATAATAGGTGAAGATTTATTCATTTGAGCAGAAAATGCAAGTAATTAAACTCCTTAGAATATGTTCACCCGAGTCTTTTATGAATGGGTAGTGCAAGATAAAACCATCTACAGTGTCTAGTCTTCTGTGGGGTCACCCTGAAGCCCATTTTATTAATAACCTGTGTTATTAATTCCATTTTCCTCACAGCTTTGAACTCATTACAGAGGTTTATTTTAGTTGTCTCAGTCAGTGAACTAAGGTGACAGCTGTCAATTTCATAGCTCAGCATTCAGGCAATTAGAGAGCTACTGGGAAGCATTTCAGATCCCCTGTGTTGAGTGAAATGAACACAGGGCAGCCATTGTCATTTAACTGTGTTCCCTAAGCTTAGTTCAGGTGCCATCATTATGATTTTTGTCATTCTTTCGCTCTCTTTTTTTTTTTAAACAGGGTCTCCCTACATAGCTCAGGCTGACCTCAAACTCTGTACCTCCTGCCTCAGCTTCCCAAGGGCTAGATTACAGTGTGTATCACTTTGCTTTTTTGCCACCAGTACAATTTAAAAATTTTAATTTATCTTAAGTGACTTTTTAAAATTTCTTAGCCAGTATCATCCATAAAATTGTGGGCCTGACGTAATAGCTGTAATTTTTTTGCAAGAAATTAAATAAATATGTAACCATTAAAAAACTGCTTCAGTGTTACTCTGTGCCCTTGAAGTGGTATGAATGCAGTGCAGCACAGGAAGCAGGCAGGGTTGATTGGGATGGAGCCAGCCCTGAAAGCTTGACTGCAGTTACGACCATCCTCCACCTTGGGAGAAGCTGCCACCAGGTAAATAGCGGGGGCTTCTGCCAGGACGTGTGTGCCTAAGAGGGTACAGGTGCCTGCCTTTAAGTGTTGGTCTTTTCTTTTGGAAGACTGACTACTAAAACACCATGAGCCATTCTGTAGGTAATGTATGTAGTAAGGCATATTATAGAATAAAAGTTTTTAGAAATACACTCTTTAAGACCATATTTAAATACTACCTTTTATCTGTGAATAGAAATTAACCAGTTAATTGCAGTCATTTCCCTTTTGGTTTCTGAAAAACGTAAGATACTTTTCTAAGATATTTCTCCCTACATCTCCTTCTGAAAGATTTATTTAATGATTTTGACTTTATATTTGCTGCTTTTCCAAGTTTTTCCCTTTCTATACCCTCCCTTACCCCTACACACACACACACACACCCCAATTATTTGTTAGCTACTTAAAACCTGGGAAGGTAATAACAAAATAAGTGCATATGGTATCAAATTCTCAATAAAAATTTTACCTAGCCAGGTGTGATAGTACAAGCTTGTGATCCTAACACTCAGGAGGCTGAGGCAGGAGAATTGCAAGTTCAAGGCCAGCCTAGGATACACAGAAAGACCCTGTCTCAAAAAAAAATTTTTTTAACTAAAATGATGAATGATTGATAGCTCTGTCTTCTCCCTTCCTTCTTCCCTTCTCTTCTCCTGTCCCATTCTTCTTTCCCTTCCATCCTCTCATCCTTTCTTTCTAGCTTATTCACACCCTTTCTTCAGTTACAGAAGAGCATGTTCTCTGGCCTTCCTGACATTGAGTGTTCACTGCATGTACTATGCACAGTATTTTATGTGCAATTACTAACCTGGTTAGTCCTCACAGCAAGCTTGCTTCTGTTTCCTTCATTTTATGGAGGAGTAAGTAGAGGTTAGGTAGCTTGTTCAGAAGTCAGACTGTTAACAAGAGAAGCAGACTTTGAGGCCAACCTGCACTGCACTGTACCAACTGTATACTGCCTCTTTTTCTCTCACTTGTGCTATTATCTTCCTATCCATAATCAGTATAATGGATCAGAGGAAATGTATCTTAAATTCTTTGTATTCATGTAAAATATGTTTAGATGAATATAGATTGCTGGCTATTTTGATTTTTTAGGTCAAAATATTTCAGATCTCAGGCCCAGAAATGTTCTGTGTGTGCTGTATCTTTCTACCCTCTCCCTCCACTGGCACTTAGCAGCTAGACTCTGAGCCTCAGTTCCTTCACCTGGAAAATAAGAAGTAGAGTCAATTAGGTCTGTCCCAACTCAGTGCTAAACTATAAATTTTTCTTTAGTCGAATCTGACAGTTTCTTTAACAAATGATTCATATGCACAGGCAAGGCATCACTGCACTAAGTCCCTGTTGTGTTTCTGTGGCATGGAAATGCCCTGTCACTGCTGTGTGCTTCCAATACCAAACACCTTTCTTGACTCAAGAAAAGGTAAGCTTTTGAATTTCTCTTACCAGATGTAACTACCCCAGGATCTCCAAAGAATGTTGGGGAATCATCTATTGTGAATGGAGGTTTAACGTCACAGGCTAAAGAAAATGGGCTGGGTGCTGCCCAGCAGGCACCTGTACAGCAGAAGAAGCTCCTCAGAGCCCCGACCCTGGCTGAGCTGGACAGCTCCGACTCAGAGGTGAGGCCTCAGACCCATTCCTCACTGGCACCTTCAGCTGTCGCTTTGTCTCTTCCTATGTTTTCAGTTATAAAACTAGGACTGAAATTAATTTATTTCACAGGAAGGGAAACAATAGATTACTTAGTATTAACCAACGTGGTAGTGTATACAGAATAAACACTGAAATTTAGCTACACTGTAGTCTTAAATTATAAGTGGGATTAAAATAAGTCAACATTTTTTAAACTCATATTACCTTCCCCTTTGTTTTGGGAAGAAAAAAAGTAAAGTTAAAAGAAACATTCCTATAAATAACTTTTCCCTCTGAAACACACACATACTTGCTTAGAATGGTTTCTGCTTTAATAAAAATGCCAAGATACAAGCCTCCAAAAAGAAAAGTTTTAATAGTTTTCCTCAGATGTCTTCCTTTACTTCTGTCCTTCAGGGGAAATAGCTCACATCCTTCACAGTTTCAACACCCATCTGGAAGCTGTACTCCCCAGTTTCTGGAGCCTATCTTAGTGTCAAGAGCTTTTCAGTCTCCACTTTCTGTCCCTTAAAATCAACTTAAGCAAAGTAAGTTGAGCTTTTTCCTTCCCTTCTCCCTGACCCACTTGACACAAGACACACACAGCTGGCTTCCTGTCCTCAATGTAGGCTCCATCCTCCTATGTCCACCCAAGTTAGAATCTGTGGAATTGCTTTTTAATTTTCCTCAGACAATACCAGTGCTAACAATTTTAGTACTGAAGCCTTTCAAACATTAGTAATAACAAAAAGTATCATTATTACCAACAGACTTCAGTCAGTGTCTTGCTCTCTCACTGTCTTACCAAGCTGTCTGATATTTCTTCTTAGCTTTTCAGATTCCATCTTGCACACACCAGGTTCATTGTCACTCATGCTTAAAACCTTTGGGAGTCTCCCGTCCCTCACAGGATATATAGTTCATGTTCGTAATGCAGTTTGTGAGAGCCCCCTGAAGAAATGCCTGGAGACTGCTCTGGCCCTATTTCACACTCTCCTTGCTCCCTTTTGATCCCTCAGCCACACGGGCCATTGTCTTTCCTGCTCAATCTGTTCTTCCTCAGCTGTGTACTTAGCTATGTCCCAATTCCTGATCCTGCTCCACCCTTAAGAGTCTCACCTTAAGTGATCTGTCTTCTGATGCCACTAGGGCCTCTTCTCTGTGACTCCATGATAACCCCTTTGTCCCTGTCACACCAGAGCATAAATGCATCCAGCGCTGGATGTGACTGGGTTCTGGAGCCGGCATTTAATCCCCTAGCTGATGCACAGAGTTAGTCCCTGTGTTCTCCACCTGGTATGTGAAACTGATTTTGTGATCTTCAAGTCTTTTTCTGGCTCCAGAATTTGAAAAGCCTGCCTTTTCAAATTTGATAGATGGGTATTCTTCCCCACCCCTTTATTTATTCGTGATGTCAAGGAATTTCCAAACTAAGACTCATTTACCTCTGGTCATATTTGCTCTCTAATAATGGCCACAATACAAAGACAGTTAGATGTGTTCCATGCTACATTCACATTTTCTAGTATTTTTCATTCCCTACTTTACGTATTCTTTCACTCTTCTCCTATTTATCCTTTTCACCAATTTCTTTTTCCCCCCTTTTTTTTCTAGTCAAATATGTGTTAAATTCCTTTGGTAAATACTAAAGGTAGAGGCAGAAATATGGTGGGCTTTGTCCCCCTGTTGCTTATAATTTAAATAGGAAATAGAAAACCATGCATGTAGGAATTATTACAAGTGTTCAGTGAGAGCACAGTCTGCAAGGTGCTGTTTTAGACTCTGCGACTGAACACTACAGAAGTTCAGAGACTATAATATACTCTAGAAGGACTGGAGAAGCCCCAGTTTGAAAACTAGCCACTGTAGGGACAGGTGGTGCGCTTTCCATTTTGCTGTGTGGTGTGGGTCTTGTTGTGCCATGGCATGCTCACTTAGTTCTTCCTGCTAGCCAGACTTGTCCTTCACCGTGTCTTCCCCATACCTGCCATGCTGATGCCATGCCTGGCTGCTGACTCGCCTAGTGCATTATCAGCCCAGTAAGCATAGACCAAGTCAGCGCTCAGGGCTGTAAAGACCAAATCAAGGAAAGCCATACAGAAGACAGCAGCCTTCCACAGAAGAACAGGGCACATTAGCTAGAAATAGAGGTGGGGAGTAGAGCCCTGCCCACCCACCCCACCCACCTCCCCCTTTCAGACCCTTTCAGGGTCTCTCTGAGGGAACTCTTGTAGCATTGTGAAATTCTTTTTTCCATTCTAAGAGGAAGTGTTCTGCCAGGAGGCAGCAGCACTTAGCTAACACTGAACTTCTTACCAGTAAATCCACCTGCCTCTACTGCCCCTGCCAAGACCTCTCTGCCACCCTCTGTGCTGCAGCCCCTGAAATAGTTGCAGGTGCTGCCAGAACTCCCTTGGGGAGGAAGCAGTGACATCGCAGTTCAGGTGCTTGATTCCCTCCTGACACGCAGCTGCTGCCAGGCAGAGTGAATTTCTTCCCATGTCATACTTGTCCCAGCAGAGACTAGCCTTCAGCCACTACCAGATACCTACTTCATGATCTCATGTAATATTCTTTTCCAGAGAAACTTTATATTCTTTAAGAGGTAGCTTCTCCCATTCCAGGATATCACCTGCTGTTGTCACATACAGACAACTTTCATTGATGACATTGTCCACCAGAAACTTCCTATTACTTAGTACTAACCTTGAAGGTTGACTTAAACTTGGTCCAGATTATCACAAATAGTTTACTGTTTAATCCTTATTGAGTTCTTAATTTCCTTGATACATCATTATAGACTATATTAATGAATTGTTTACCTTACCAGTTTCAAACTCAGCTGTTTTATGCAAAAAAGGAAAAGTCCTCCTTAGTCATTTTTTTCCCCTTTGCAGTGCTGGGGATAGAACCCAGGGCCTTGCACATGTTTAGGCAAGTGGCTCTACCACTGACCTACGTCCCCAGGCCTCAACCTTAATCAATTTAAGAATATGAGATACTGACTTGCTTTTAAATGTTCTTAATGCCCAAAGTTTATGAGTCCATGAACAATCAGGGAAATGCATTTTTCCCTTCCTGTTAAGTAAGAACTTCATTTGCCAAAGTGGCAAATTGATTTTTTTCTCTTGGACTTAGTAGCTTTGTACATTTAAATCTCCAGTCAAAATAAGCATTAGCTACAAGTTGAAGTTGATGTCTTTTGAAAGTTTCTAGTTGTCAAACTTGGCCCCCTAGTACTGACTCATCAACATTGGCCAGTTAGTTTTGACCCATTTGTGGGATTTAGACATTTCCAGGTATTAAACTTGTCCATTGGGAGTGACCCAAAAGCACAACACTTCTTAAGGCTTAGAAATAGGTTATCTAATCTGTCATTTTGCCCGAACCAGAACTAACCAGTGTTTTTTAATTAACAAAATACCATGAGCACATTCTCTTCTGATTCAGTGTCCTTGTCGTGATGCCTACTGTCTGAGTGGCGTCCATCATAGTAATTTACCACATTTTATTCACCCAGTCCCTATGTGGGAACATTTAGTTAGTTTCCCGTTTTCTGCATTATAAATAACAGTAGTGTTGTAGGCATCCTTATGTTAAACTTTTGAACTGAGTTGGTTCCCAGAATATTTCTAGAATTGAACTTTCAAAGTGAAAGAATACACATTTTTATAGCTTTTGATGCATAGTGTCAGGTTCCTTAAAGAGAACTCTAGTAGCTACTTCTTAGTGAGCTAACTCTGGGCTGGAATTTAGATAGTAATTTGACTTCACAAAGACCTTAGAAGGTGATTTTTATCCTTATAAAAACAGTAAGGGTACCATGGTTTCTTTCCGAATTTTATGATCTTTCACTTTTCACTTAAATAACAAAGGAACAGTAGAGTTAGGAAATGATATAGTCAGACTGGAAACCCACATGTAACTCCAAAGTCTGTGTATCTCATGAACTTGAGAATATTCCAACCAGTAGTGTATGAGAATGCCTGAATTTAAAACAAAAAAATTTAATTGGGAGGGGCCTGAGAAATTTTGTACACCATCTACTTATAGTGAGAAAACTCAGCCCCCAGTAAAGCTAAAGACCAAGTTAAAGCCATCTGATATTTTAGTAGCAGAGTCTCTATTAACTAGGCCTTTTGTCTGTTCCTGGAAATGCAGCTTATATTTAGCTACTTCTTTTAGCCTATCTCAAGCAACTTTTTTAAAATGAAAAGTAAGTTTCGGTTGCTGGGATTTCAAAGCTTTTGGTAACAAAGGAAAGCAAAGGAGCTGTGTCAGGAGCATCCCTGGACTTTTTTTCAGAAAAAGGAAGGTTGCCGCTCCTGTGAAGTGAGTTGGGACCCATACTGGCAACTTCGGGCAACAGTGCCACCCGGGAATAAAGCCTGGGTGTAGGCAGCTCTCCTGCAGCCACAGTTCTCACCTAGAGAACACCTAGTCCTTTGAGTGTCAGAACCAGTTCCTTGCATCAGCCAGCACAAACAAGCAGGTTTTGGAGACCAGGCCAGGCAGAAGACACTGATGTTCTTGGGATGTGGAAGACACATCAGAACCCTGAGCCAGCAAAAGTGGTCAGTTCACAGGAACAGACATGGGACAGCAAGCACAGCAGGAGTCTGTGTGCACACACATGGACACCTGTACATGCATGTCTTGCTCAGAGACCAGACTTTCAGAATTCCCTGGACCTCAGGTGTCTTTGTGATCTTTAGGGTCAGGACCCTAGAGAATATTAGTTTTCAAGTAGTCAGAAATATGGGTATGGCAATAACTGCTGGGAAGCAATTTCAAATGTCAAACAATTGTTTATAAGGGGTGGGGAATATAACATAGTAGCATGTACTTGATTAGCATACTCAGTCTTTGGGTTTTTCCCAGCGATGTAAAAAAATAAAAATAAAAGAATTCTTTATACTTACAACATTTTAATCTCCATGTTGTAAATCAAGGTACATCAGATTCTCACATCAAACCTTAGTCATTTCCTTTTAGCAAAAGCATTTTTAAGAGCCTCACAGCACTGGGGAGGCTGAAGCTAGAAGATCCTGAGTTTGAGACCAGCCTAGGCTACATAGCAGTACTGTACCTTAAACACACACTTTAAAAATGAATGATTGTGTGATTTTCTTGTGTGGTTTTTTTTTGTGTGTGTGTTTTTTTAAGTGGAGAATGCAGCTTCTGAGTACCAAAAATCTAGTACTCAATAATGTTCCCCTTTCTTACTTAAGTCTAGTCTTAAAGAATGGAATAAAACTATTCAGGGGAAAATCAGAAGTCCACCTTTAAATTTACCAAAACAGATTCTAAATTCCCTAGACTATATCCATAATTTTTTTGAGACAGGATCTCACTGTATACTCCAGGCCAACCTTAAACTCATGATCTTCCTGCCTCAGCCTCCCAAGTGCTAGGATTATAGGCATGCACCACCCTACCATCTGCCATATCTGTCAATTTTAGCATTATTTTGTAAGGGGGAATTCAGGAAGGATGCTTAATTTCAGTTGACACTTAGACCCGTAAAGGGCCACTTTCTAGATGGCAAAGGATGCTCAGAAATGTGAAGTCAAGTGTTAGGCTCTTCTGACTCACTGGAGTATTGCTGGCTCACCAGGGCACAATGATTATGTTGTTTTGTTTCTTCAAAGGATTTTCAAGACCACTGAACACTGAGTAGCTATTTTAAGGTTTGGAAGTGTTGGTAGAAAATCCACTTTGAGGTTTTCCAGGGCTTCCCTGAGAATTAGGTAAGAGCCCCTCCAGCAACACTCCCACACAGCTCTCCTTCTCAAGGTCCATGTGAACACAGAGGGACACAAGTACGAAGTAAGTCTGAACAGTAGCAGCTCGGACAACAAGCTGTTAGCACAGGGGTAGCAGCAGTGAGCCTGACTCCCCCACCTCAACTGCCCACCATGACACCGCCCCTTGTTCAATTTCCCTTGGAATTTTAACATTTGTCATATAGAATTAGTGATCAAAAAATGTTTGCTTAACAAAGATTTCATCCTGACAGATGTAGTTATTTAGAGAGTCCTTTCTTATAGAAGGATGTATTATAGACAAGTTGTATTGTACAACTAGGTTCCACCTATGAGTACAGAAGAATATGTTTCTCTCTTAACAGTAACAGAGGTAACAAGGTGAAAGTAGACTTTAAAATGTGTTTCTGAACAAGGCGGTCTGGAGTACAGGAGGAAGCCGACGCACTACCCTGTTTTAATCAGAATTGGCACCCATCTCCCAGGAAGCCATCATGCATGTGACTCCTGTGTTTTTTTCCCTAAGAGATAATCCTGACTCATGTTTCCTTTTGACCTTTCAAAAACAGAAGGAGATCATTCTAATCACTTCCAAACTTTATTAGATTTGTATGACCTCCACCATATCTGGAATACAGGCCTTGCTAATTGCTTTATTTGTTCTCCATGGTAAGTCCGAAGAGTGTGGCAGTCACTGTTAAAGCTTATTTGTTTGAACTGTGTGCTTTACACCGCCTTTTTCTTCTGTGCTTTGACCAGATCTTTACATTGTACTTGTTTGAAACTAGTAGCTCAGCAGAAGCTTAATTTAGGAGAGGCCAGTTTTTAGTGAATGGCTAATTAACTCAACACCACCTTAGCTAAGAAAGTCAAAGAGAATCTTCACTATTTATCTCACATGGTCATAGATGAGTATATTTACCTAATTTTCTTCCTTCTGGTTTTAGAAATAATGTAGCAGTGTTCTATAGGCATTATAGTGGAAGGAACGTAGTTGTCTTCTTTCTAATATGTATCTCCTGTCACAAAGTAGAGAGTTTATGTTTCATGAATAAATATTATACCTCATTCAAGTTTAGTCTAAAACAAATTAATGTATTAGGAACTTAATTTTACTTGACAAATGTAGACATTTTCCTAGACTCCTGACATTTCTGTAAATGTTAATTTTCATCCATTCATTCAGCCATTATCTATTCACTACTTACTAAATGATGGGCTTGTTACTAAGTATATAGCAATAAACAAGGTTCACAATCTATTATTTTCATAAATGTGTTAAACATTCTCCTTGTTACAATAGTAACCTCAGCTGTGAGCCAGGTAGTGTGCTGAGCAATTTGAGTGCATTCTTCCTCTCCATGAATTCTTCCAATAACATGGGAAAATGGTATTATTATATCCTCTTTCACAAATGATGAGTCTCAGATAGGAAACCTGCCCAATGTCCTTTTACTCCAGTGGGGCCAGGCCAGGACACAAACCCAGACCTGCCTAGTTTTTTAGACCCTTTCTAATTTGTCTAGATCCTTTGACAATACAATCTGGTGCCTGTGTTGGCATATGGTTTAATAGTTGTTAAATGTTGTGAAGCAGCACAGGAGCACTAAAGCTGAGAATCTCTCCCTCTTAGGAGGAAACTCTGCACAAGTCCAGCAGCAGCAGCAGTGTGTCTCCTTCCTTCCTCGAGGACCCGGTACTGGAGGCGATGTGCACCAGGAAGAGTGAGTACCGTGGTGCAAATACCTGAGGACACATGCTTCACTTAGAAGTCTCCCATAGTGCCCTGGTCATTTGGGTATAACAAGAGCAAGTGATGCAAGTGCAAGGCCTGAGTTCAAATCCCAGTACTGCCAAAATCCAGAAAAACCCTGACAGTTGATTTCTTTTCTTCTTCTTCCCACAATGGGGTTTGAACCTAGGGCCTCACACTTGCTAGAGTCACACTACCCACTGAGCTAGGGCCCCAGCCCTTTTGGAGTAAATTTTTTTTCAGATAGGGTCTCAAGTTTCTGCCTAAGGTCTCTTGTGTAGTTTTGATTACAGATGCATACCACCATGCGTGGCTTATTAGTTGAGAAGAGGTCTAGCTGACTTTTTTTGCCTTAGCTGGCCTCAAACTGCAATCCACTCAATCTCTTCCTCCTAAGGAACTAGAATTACAGATATGAGCCACCGTGCCCATCTGATCCTAACAGTTCGCTGTCAGGAGCAGATGTACTCAGTTATATTCCTAGACTCCCTCCACAGGTAAGACTAAACTGATAACCAGCCTTAGGTTCTTAACTTAGAGTAGATCAGACACATTCGTGTTGGTAGATAACGTATAGATAATAGAAGAAGTACGTCAACAGTGTGTGTGTTTTAGATTAATTACCTCCTTGTCTGAATTTAAGCTTAGAAGCCCTAAATAATCGTATTTGTTCCCCACCGTTTGACCTACCACACACACAACCATACCCACATACACAAAGCTAGTAAAAACACGTAACTCCAAGATGACAGACTGAGCACGGGCATCTGAAATTAAGGGATTTCTGAAGGCTTTTAGCAATATTTTTTCATTTATGCAATTATTATGAAGTATTAAAAATTTAACTCTGTATTAACCATTCTTAGAACATTGACTTGATTTCTCACACACACGACATATTACAATTCTTCACAATTATTTTATTTTTCTATTAAACAGATTATATCAAAAACAATGGGAGCTGGCCTTGTTATTTCTGTAATTAGTGTTTGGCCAGGCACATTAAATATTATGGAGACCCAATTAAATCACATAATGGGTTTCTACATCTTCTCTTGGCTGTGGAAACTACGTACTTTGTTTTCCTTTAGTAGTTTCTCTTGAGGGGACCTCAAATAGATGAAAATCCCACTTAACTCTGTTGACTCTCACTTTCCTCCCCAGTGCACTGAAGCAGCAAAAATAGTGTAGGACGATGTACTAAATAAAAACTCTGGTGGCATAATTTATTTCCTATATCCTCCTTATGCTTTCAAAAGGAGAATCCAGACCTATTGAAACACTAAAAATTCTCTTTTAAAACAGTGTTAGGAAGGGCTAGAGAAACCCAGAGTGCTTGCCTGGCACAGGTCCTGCTTCTGATCCCCAGCACCTCAGGGGGGTGGAGGGACCTGCTAGGCAGAGGAGAACAAAGACATGGTGTTAACATCAAAGCTGGGGTTTTTGTTTTACCAGATACAGTTTAATTTTATTTAAACCTAAGAAAAAAATGAAATGTCTTAATAAACATACATACATAAACATACATATTTTAGCTTGGTAAGGAAGAATGTGAATTTTGGCATGATTTGGGAGTCTTTGGAACCATACAGAATACACACTTCCTAGTTTTTAAAATAATGTTTGAGACTTTAGTTGTAAAATTTTATGGAAGGTAAATAGGGTATTTGTATGTACGAATCAAATGCTGTACTTACCGTGCATTTTTATATGTGAACTTGAACTGGAAACAGGACATCAGGGCCGCACGTTTGCTAGGCAGGTGATCTACCACTTGAGCCACTCCGCCAAGATAGGGTCTTTGTTTGCCCGGGCTGGCTTTGAACCATGATCCTCCTGCTCTCTGCCTCCTGAGTCAGCCAGAGTGTCTTCCTTGTTTTTGTTTTCTTTTCATCACTGGGAGTTGAACCATGCCTCAGGCATGCTAGGCAAGTGCTGTCCTGCTTGAGCCTCAGACTCCCAGCTCTTTATTGGGTTTTTGGTTTTTTTGGGTTTTTTTTTGCAGTACTGGGGCTTGAATTCAGGACCTTCACCTTGAGTCACTCCACCAGCCCTTTTTTGTGAAGGGTTTTTTGAGATAGGGTCTCAAGAACTATTTGTCCAGTGATCCTCCTGATCTCTGCCTCAGTAACTGGGATTACAGGCATGAGCCACTGGCATGTGACTTGGATTTTGTTTTTGAGATGGGGTGTTGCTAACTTTGCCCTGGCTGGCCTCAAATTCAAGATCCTCTGCCTCTGCCTCCCAAGTAGTTGGGATTACAGGGGTGCACCACTATGCTGGCTTCTTGCTATTTCTGTAGCAAGTTTGTCTTGCAAAGATTTTCTATTAACAATCCTCAGAAAAGAATTAACCTAGAAGGTAACACCCACGCACAGGAAATCAATGTGAGTCAATGCCCTGTATAGCTATCCTTATCTCAACCAGCAAAAACCCTTGTTCCTTCCTAGTATTGCTTATACTCTCTCTACAACAAAATTAGAAATAAGGGCAAAATAGTTTCTGCTGGGTATTGAGGGGGTGGGGGGAGAGGGAGGGAGTGGAGTGGGTGGTAAGGGAGGGGGTGGGGGCAGGGGGGAGAAATGAACCAAGCCTTGTATGCACATATGAATAATAAAAGAAAAATGAAAAAAAAAAAATCCTCAGTCACCCCTTCAGAGTTACTTACCATTACCACCTTAAAATATCTCTGCAGTGGAATAAGCACTTCTTTGAGGCAGCATTCATCACAAATGACAAAGGGTTTCCTGTTAGAAAATTCACAATCTCAGATTTTTACTTTGTAAGAGAGTTCATTTATTTAGAGTTCATTTATTAAATCTTTAGAACCTCCAAAATTCTTGCCCATATCATCAACACCTCAGCCAGAAAGACGGCAGCCACCTCAGAGACGACATTCCATTGAGAAGGAAACGCCTACTAATGTGCGACAGTTTCTGCCACCATCCAGGCAGAGTTCCCGCTCTCTGGTAAGTACCACAAGGTTGGAAGACTTAGAATCACCAGCTTTCTTTCGAAATGGAAAGGAGAAACCTCCCAAAGGTTAAAATGAACTTTGAAAAATAGGCTGTAACCATACCCAACCAGACTTAGTTCATTCTGAGCATTTTTTTTTCAGATTTATCAATGGATATATTGTGAAAGAAATGTTTTCATCTTTGTTGATAGTAATCCATTTAAAATTGTTAAAAACCGATCAAAAAACCCTTAGCAAAGTCTGACTACACTAAACGATTTTATTAGTGAACTACAGAGGACAGAAAAATTTGATCCATGTATAAACAGTGTACATTTTTTTTTCTATTGTATCTTGTGATGTTGGGACAGAGTGGCTATTTGGACTGGTTTAATGCTTTTTGCTATTTTCTTATAGTGGCTACTTTTTTCTCAAGACAGTGGCATGGCCCTTTGAGGCCCTTCTAGGAACAGTTAGTAGATCCACCAACTAAAAGAAATCTGCAGACTCTTTTGTACCCCACTTGACTTCAGAAACGTTTGCAGGCAAGATACAAGGCTTCAGAGCTGGTTGTGTGGCCTGCCTAGCAAGCACTAGGCCCTGAGTGCAAACCCCAGAGTCATATGCAAGGCTTCAATCAATATTCTGCCCACAACCTAATATCTAATATTTTTCCAATATTTATACATAAAAATTACTAGAATATGCTTATGTCCATTTTTTTAATTGTGATGAGTCATCAGGGTTTCAAATGAAGCAACACCAGGTGTCCTCACTCAAAGTACAGGATGGTTTGGCTCCTGTGAAGACTGGGAGTTTGAACAGAGCTTAGGGTATTGACATTTGATCAGTCACCTCCATTTCCAAATAACCAGTTAAGGAATTAGTGATTTTATGACCATCCTCATAGGGTTCTTCTCACTCCCTAAAGAATCACTGAGACACTGCTATTTGATGAAATACAGTTTTATCAATGGTTTATTTACAGAAAAACAACTGACGAAACAAGCACCAACTTAAAATCTAAAAACTTTCACTAATGTGAATAAATTACTGCTTTACCAAAATACTCAGTTGTTGTCATAGCTTAAAAATATATGAGGGAGCTCCTTCATGGTTTTTTTCCATAAGTTACATAATAATTAGGATATCTTTCTCTTTATACAGCTTTTCCTAGAAGTCAGACTATCATTCACCTCCACTCCTGGCCTTTGTGATCATGTAATGTCATTATTGAGATTAGCCTCAAATCAGACTTTAAAATTATCACTGTAAAGGAACTATTGATCTACTGCAAAATAGTTTCATCTAATAATAGAAGTTAGCCAAGACTTTTGGCCATATCAAGGGTCCAGGAAGTCTGTTTCCTGATGAAGCAAAGCTTTTGGTGTGTGCTCAGTCACACCATGAGCTGTTCCCTTGTGGAGCAGGAAGGAGGAGAGCAAGGAAAAACTAATTTGCAGTCTCTGAGAAGGATCCCAGGAGCAGGCAGTGGAAGTAGCATGGACCACACATAGGCATGCAGGTTGAAAGACCAGGAGGGGGAGTCCTTGCCTGGGGACAGCTCCCTAGTGCCTTGGGGCACCAGCTGGGACAAATGTCCAAACCTCTCACTAGTAGCTCATCTTGGGAAATCTGTAAAATCATACTTCTATAATAGTGTCCTCTACTTAGTAAATGCTGTTTTTAAAAATTCTGTTTTTTAATTTAAACCTTCAGTTACATTTTAGAAAACAAGGAATCATTCTGTGTTTGTAAATCCTCAACTGAAAATGGCAGGAATGTTTTCATTGATGTTAATTTTTTTTTTATTTTGTCTTTATCCCTCTCCCTAGAATATTTAAAATTTGGTCAAATGATGGGGGGATGGTTGCCCATCAGGTGAAAGGCGAGTTGTCTTTAATGACCTTCCCAGGATCCCACAGGAGCAGGTAGCTGTATGGTGCACGTTCCCCTGCCTTCTTGGGCATAGGAACCAGCGAGCTCCATTTGTGAGACAGAGTGCTCACAAGACCACCAAGTTAGGACAGTCCTAAATTAAGTCTTGCTGTATGAACACCCAGAGCCTCCTGGATGTGACCTCTTGATTTGACTTCTGATTTATACGAATGCACGCAGACGTCAGCCTGGACCATGAGCATTCTTACGGTGTTTTGTTTTGTTTTCTTTCATGATCTGTAATTGCTGTTTGTAGGTCACTTGTGTTCAGCATTATTTTCTCCTTTTCTTTCCCCTTGCCATTTTCTTTTTCCCTTCTGTTGTTCAGGTTCCTAGGATAACCAGTGTATGGCCAAGGACGCCCTTTCGACCACTTTTCTCTACCATACAAACAGCTTCTCTGCTCAGCTCTCATCCTTTTGAAGCAGCCATGTTTGGGGTAGCAGGGGCTATGTATTATCTGTGTGAGAGAGCTTTCACCAGCAGGTGGAAATCCTCAAAGGTTGGCCTCTTTCTGCCAGTTCTGGGAATTACTTTACTCTGTATCTCTTCAACAGTGATACCTCAGCTACTGCACTCTGCAAGAATTAACAGCTCAGACAGGCCTTTCGCTTCTGATCATTGATTCCTGTCTTATAGGATACATAGATCATGCCATGATCTCATTTGAGAGAGAAATTACTGAAAGGACAACAAACTCAAAATGCAGCATCACATTAGAGAGGCCCGTGGGCATCTGTCTCTGGGAGTGACTCACTGGCAGCAGGGAGGCAGTACCACACCTATCTCCCTGGCAGGAGGTCCTCCGAAGGCTCAGGTGCTTTGCCCTGACACAAACCAGGAGAGTTTGCTCTCCCCTGCCACCAGGAGAGTTTGCTCACTAAGCTGGCAGAGCAGCCTCCCGAAGACCAGGTAGCCACAACAAACCACCTACCTGTCCCTATAGGTGCAGGTACATTACTACCACTTCCTGTGTGCCCTACCACAGGGTCTATCACCCCTGGACTCAAGAAACTTGCCTGTTCCCAGCTTCTGTTAAATGCATTGTGTAAAGGTCAGGATGTTTCTTCTCTGTAGAAAGTAAGTTTTTTTTTTTTTTTGGTGTGGTTATTTAAAGCACTTTAAATACCTGTATTTTCTTAATTTTCTGAGGATTTTTTTCACAGAATAATACATTATTATCTGAACCTTCTCCTTTGAAGGACCACATCAAGGCCTCTGCTCCAGTGTAGCAGGGCTGGCTTTTCAAGATCCTCATTTCTTGAACAGATGACCCAGCAGCTGGGCTCTTTGTTGTTCTCTGTTACTCATCTTGATGTAGAAAGGAGGCTCCCAATGTAAATGAGACGCACATTCCTTGCTCTGTTATTTGTCATGAAGTCTGGTCCTTTCTCCTAGTTTAGATCTGTCCACTGGGCAAAACAGTTGGGTGCAGGGATGGCTCTTTAATTCCTGTCAGTCTTACATGCTGACATTTTATTATCAGTGCCCCCAGATAGAGATCTCTATAGGAAGTTCACAGGATTCACTCTGAATTTTAAAGTTGAATTTGGAAAAAAAAAGAAGAGTAATTAAATTTAATGGTTGCTATTTTTCTTTAAATTTGCCTCCCTTTGGTTTATTAAAAACTTGAAAACCAATGATTGTTTTGGACAATTGCTACTTATGTTTGAAGTTTTTGCTAATCAAGACTATTACATAAAAGATGTATCCTCTATTTCTCTGTGGCCCAGTTAAAACCAAAGTTTTACACTCTGCTGTCTCATCTCTGTGCTGCCTAATTCTGACCCCTCTTTAAAACCAGAATATCCACTAAAGCTCAGCAGCTTAGTGGCATGCATACAAATGAGCCCCAAAGACATGCCTTCCCCATGCACACCATAATCTCCCTAAAGCCCTTGAAGAGTTAGCTTCCCTCTCCCAAATTTTGGAGTCACATTGGAACACAGCAGCAAGGGAGATGGAGTTAGGCTCTGCAGTCCTCGTCCACTTGTCCAGTCTAGCCTGTTGGCTGGGCTGAGCGCCCACTGCAATGTCCTGGTGGGCAAGACTCTCGCACACATCAGAATCCTGGCTGCTCTTCACAGTTGGATTGTTAGCAGCTTAACAAGATCTGTTAAAGTGTGATTTGGATTTGGGAATGCTAAATTAATATTTTTCTCAATTGGAAACAAATAATTAAATCTATTCTAGTAACTTTATCATTTTATTTCGTGTTGCATTAAAGTCTTGTTGTCCTTAGGAAAACTCCAGAATTAAAACATTAGCATTTGACTTGGTAGACATTATTTAACTAAAGGGTAGTCTGACTGAAATTTTAAAAGAATAAGAACAAAGAAACAAAACCCACAGTTCTTATATCCTATGAAGTACTAGATTTACAGCGGTTCAAAGCAGGAAGTTGAGGCCCTTTGTGACTTACGACTGAAGAGTGGGAAGAGCACGCTGTCAGGTTTTCCACATGTGGTAGTATATCCCCACAAATAAAAAGGAATTATCTCTACCTGAATTGCTTAGCAGCCAGGTGTGCGAGTCATAAAGTTGAGGAAATTGGTACTACTTGCTTACTTTTCTGGCCTGCCCAGTAACAAATCTGGTTACCTGGTTGTTTGCTAGATTGGTACATTATTTTGCCACAGTTTAGCAATCAACTCGTCAGTGATGAATGAAAGTTGTGATAGGAGAGTCTTTTTTTCTGGCACAAGTTAAAAACTGTCACTCAGATGTGCTTAGTCAGCACTCCTATTTAGTGCACAGCTTTAATGGCCTGACCTGCAGAAAGGCAGTTCACTGTTCCTACTTGACAGTCCTCTCTGTTGTCAGAGTGGAGCAAAACAGAACAGATATTGAGCACACCACTTTAATCTTGTCCACTCTGAAAGCCGTTCCCATTGAAAGAAAACTGTGGTGGATGATTTAAAAAACAAAACAAAAAGTATTTTGGGCTTATTAGAGCAAATGATGTAATCTTTCTGAAAAATTCCTGCTGTCCACATACTAACAGGCTCCTCATCTTAAAAATTCAATTGCAGGGTTTTTTCCAGAGCATTTTTAAGCCAAATTAGTCATCCTTAAATTGGTTTGAACAGAGATGATTTTGTATTGATTTTTAGTAAAAAGCAGTTGGTCAGACTTCTTTTTTTAGTAAATGCTAATGTTTGTGAAGTTTGCAGTCTAGATTTATTTTTGTTTTCCTCTGATTGAAAGACAGAACTGAATGTTAAAACTCCATAAACTGACTGTGTTCAAAGTCATGTGCTTTCCCCTTTGGCTTGCTTGGTTCCAGAATGCCTGGGAGCAGTGCTATTGTGTGTGTGGGAGTGAATTATAATGTGTTTGTACTGAGAACATTCAGTTTCAGTGTCACTGCACCACAATGGCCCCTTGAAGCCTGGCAGGACCCGAATGCACAAGACCGTTCTGTCTTTCTCTTAGATCCACCAATCAAGAGTGGGCCGGATGGAGAACGGATGGGTGTGAGGCTCTTATTCAGTGGGATCAGTTACATCATCATCTTCCACAGCTGTTTTTAGGAAAGCCATTAACATAAGACAGCCAACATAAATATTTATTACGAAATTTTTCTGAGTGTCTCCGCATCTTTCCAGGGCTGACTGAACAGGCAGCAGTGATTGAAAAATAGTAAGGGAAATCTGGAGGGGGGCCTTTGGGAGTGAACCCGCTCATGGTTTCCTGTTCCAGTTCCACTCATAACACAAGTGCTGATGTAACTGATCACTAAACAATGCTTGTCAGTACAAAGTACTAACCACCTTCTCTTGGCCATTCTGGGTACCACGAACCAGTTTTGAAAAGAGGACCAGTGCTGTGGCTTTGCAGTCTGTCTACCAGACTAATGCACAGCTCTAATGTCTGTGCATAGTCACAGGAGAAAACCAACACAAAATTGCTTTAGAACAACAGAATTGTTTTCAAGATTTCAAGCAGATCTCTGTTTAAAGGAACTGTTATTAGAGGCAAAACATCTGAACAAATGTGAGGAACTTTCATTTACTGGAAATTTCAGTAAGCTGCAGCATTTCACAGGGCCCTGTTTTCTGCCACCTGTAGTGTTGGTGCACTTAGAAACGGTGTGGTCCCCAGAAGGAGCCAGCTCTGCCCCAGTGATCATGGGAAGTTCTTTTCCCCTCTGAAGCTACTAACCAGGTGTATGGTCTGAAGAGAAGTTTCACAGTTTCAGAGCACAGGGTGTGAACTTCTTATTCATGTGGTTCTTTGAATTTCAGGAGGAATTCTGCTACCCAGTGGAATGCCTCGCTCTTACTGTGGAGGAAGTGATGCATATTCGTCAGGTCCTGGTGAAGGCAGAGCTGGAAAAATACCAACAGTATAAGGACATCTACACTGCCCTGAAAAAAGGAAAGGTAGAGCTGTTTGAAGTTGATTGACCAGAATGATGAAAAACTGCTCAGTCCCAGGCATGGTCTCTGAGGAGACTTGTCTGCTACCCAGGTGGTGTAGGACTTTAGATGATCTTAGGAGGTGATATGTTCATACTATAGAAACTGCCCCTGTTATGCCTCACAGATGGGGTATTTTGCTTCTCTCTTGGAAATCAGATTTCAAGAGAAAGGTGAGCAGGTCTAAAAACCATGATAAAGCCATGTTTGCATTTGTGTCATTACACTTTTAAGGGATCTGTAAAGGAAATGTGTCTGAGAAACAGGAGAGTTTTTCAGAACCTTCCTGATTCCATGATGATGAGACAGACATCAAGTGCTGTGCCTTTTTATTAACCTTTTGAAGGAGACTTGTCATTAAACAGAGTCAGAATGTAAGTGTCACAGTGCCAAACGTAAAGGCAGGATTTCAGAATTCTCTTCTTCCCTCTGTCTGTGAAACACCCCCTAGATGAATGTAAAGTGTATCAAGCCATGGAGCTAGAGCTGTTGGCCCTGCCTCTTCTCTCCTTTTCACTTTGTATTTTTTTAGCTCTGCTTCTGTTGCCGAACCCGGAGGTTTTCCTTCTTCGCCTGGTCTTATACCTGTCAGTTCTGTAAGAGGTAAGGTATTTGCAATTGATGAAAAGCTAGATTTAACAATCACAAAAGAAATACTAATCACCACTGGACTTAGTGGCACATGCTTACAATCCCAGCACTCGGGAGGCAGAGCAGGAAGAGTGTAAGTTTAATGCCAGCTACATAGAAAGACCCTGACTCAAAAAAACAAAAAGCAGGAGGGATTAGAGGAGGGAGGAGGGATCAGTTACTTCTGTTGTCTCATCATTTTTCTACCCATTCTTTTGTATTAACCTTGTGCCTTCCTTGTCAGTTAGGAATATTGATTTTTTTTCAACAGTGGGCCCAACAATTACTGAAACTGGAAAAATGCTTATATGTTACTTATTTTACCTAAACAAGTAATTCTAATATGTCATGTTTGAACAGAAAAAAGGCAGGTTATCATGTGATCCCTGGACAGACTAATAAGGAAATTCCAAACAGAAGTTGATCCTTTTATAAGAGACAAAGTGAGAGTTAAGTTTTACAGTTGATTATCTGAATCAGTTTGTTACATTCTGGCAGAAGGACAAGAGAGTGTTTGCAATTTGTTATAGAAGTTCACAGCCAGGCAGCACTGCCTTCTTTCACGCTTCATTCGTGTTCCTTGTGTCACACAAAGTAATGCTTCTGATTTTGTACGCAGGCCTGTGTGCTCACAGTGTTGCAAAAAGGTAAGCCAAGTTTGGTTAAATTATAGTTATGTCCGTGTTTCGCCTTTGCCTCTGCCAGTCTTACTCATTCTCAGTTTTATTTGGATTAACAGATGCGGCTGCCCTCCAAGCCATACTCCACTCTACCTATCTTTTCATTGGGACCTTCTGCCTTGCCAAGAGGGGACAGTTGTGCGAGGTCAGAAAAGCCCTCTGCTGGTCACCATCGGCCACTGCGCAGTATTGCCAGGTGAGCCAGGGAGGGAAGACTCTTTAAAGAGTCCTCTTTGAAATAAAAATGCTTCTGTTTTCCAGGACTGTGGAGAGGGGGAAGGGTTTAACTCAAGGGGATCTTGTTGGTTCACTAGTTTTAATACAGTTTTAGACTTGCACACAAATCTCCAAAACTTCCTCAAAGGTAATTTTTCAGGATTAACAGCCAGGTACTTAAAGGATACTTTAATCATATAGTTTATATTTTGTCCTACTTTTGAAATAGCTGTTGTTTCTTTTTAAAGTTGTCTTTAAAACTGATCTTGTTTTCAATGAAACAGATCTAATCCTTTCCTTCTCAATAGTTTTGATACGTCTATTTAATGCTGTGTTTAAAGGCAGAAGTAAAGTTTTATGCCAAGAGCTGGCAATTTTTTTAAGGGAAAAAAATGCCTGAGTATCAAAATCCCTTTGCATTTAGTGCTGGTCCTTCAGGGGGAAGGCCCATTCAGGTCACAACACAAGCAGGGCCAAGAGGGTCATAGCTCTGTGGACTGTGAGGTAAGAAAGCCAGGAGCCTGGCATGTGACCTGGGCCCAGACAGCCACCCTGTGCTTCAGCTCATTGTCCTCTGAGACTCCACGCTGTGACAAACACTGATGGGGGGGCCATCAGGGGGCTCAGAGCAGCTATTCTTTCCTGTGCTTACTCTGAGCCTACTAGATCTTTCTTGTGGCTTTCCTGTTTGGGTTAATTAAAATTAAAAAGTAAGTAGGTGATCCCAAGTTACCCGAAACACTTATGGTAGTGTTGGTCCCGTTAGCTCCAGCTCTCTGAATCCAAATAACCAATCACACAGATATGGAAAATTGTTAGGGAAGGGAGAGACATATTTGATAAAAACACAGATGACAAGAAGACAGGCTGAAAGTCATAAGATTAAGTTACTTCGGTTTCCTGTAGTCCATCCTGCCATTCTTGGTTTTTAATCAGGACACATGGCACAGGATCCCTGGAAAAAGAGCTTCAAGTCCTTCTGAGTCATCCATGAGGATGACAACATGTACATGTGTCTCATTTAATTGTAAAAATTCCATCTAAATATTCAGGCAAATATTCTAGATGCTCTCTATTCCAAAAATTCCAGAAAGGATAAGGATTTTCAATATTATTTTAGTGGGGTTTCTTTTTTTTGGGGGGGGGCGTGTGGCAGGGAGACTGGGGTTTGAACTGAGGATTTTGTACTTGCAAAGCAGGTGCTGTACCACTTGAGCCACACCTCCAGTCCATTTTGCTCTGGTTATTTTGGAGATGGGATCCTTAAGGTCTTTACCTGGGCTGGCCTTGAACTTCAATCCTCCCAATCTCAGCCTCCCAAGTAGCTAGGATTACAGACGTGAGCCACTGGCTCCTGACTAGTGTCATTTCTTAATACAACATGTCTCTGATTTCTTTTCTAAAAAAGTATTTGTGAACCAGTCTCCAGTAAGAAATTCTTCTTAGAAAAGTATGACTTGATTAATTCACTCACCCATGCCACTGCACCGTAATGCTTTGGCAACAATTTTAGCTTTTCATGTTTTTCTTAATGTTTTGGTAGAACAATAAGTAAGACTGCTGAGTGATTTGGGGTTTTTTCTCAGGTTCTCCTCAAAATCTAAGTCTGTGGACAAATCAGATGAAGAACTCCAATTTCCCAAAGAGTTCATGGAGGACTGGAGCACGATGGAGGTGTGCGTAGACTGCAAAAAGTTCATTTCAGAGATCATCAGTTCGAGCCGGCGGAGCCTGGTGTTGGCCAACAAAAGAGCCCGGTTAAAAAGGAAAACGCAGTCTTTCTATATGTCCTCCCCAGGCCCCTCAGAGTACTGCCCTTCCGAGAGGACTATCAATGAGATCTGAGCCCTGTGCCTTCCAATTGCTTTTGTGTCTGGAGGCGGCATTGGTGGGGAGAACACTACCTGGATTTGTCTCTCCTTCCCCTGGTTTTATTTAATAAGCTTGAATTTGCATTAGATTTCACCTTGTTCCACAGACTGAATGCTGTGTTCGTATCGGTGGATGATACATGACAGGTCAGCCAGTTGCTCGTTTGCACTCAGCGAGGACAAACAGCAGTCTGAACATTGCTTTTGTAGATGTGGAAGCCAGAACCTTTTTCCTTGGTTCAGTTCCTTATTCCTTAAATAATTTCCTAAGGCAAAAAGCTTCTCGTGTGAGAAGTCAGTCTGACAGAGGAATCGATGTCAGCACAGTTCTAAGCAGTAAGTCATATTGGCATTTCCACGAGACAGTGTTCCTATCTAATGTACATAGTGGTCCAGAACCCTGCCACATCCCGGCTGCCTGGGGAGGGCCAGGCTCACAGCACAAACCCGGGACTTGCTGATCCTCTCCAGCTGATTCTTTAATTATCCTTGTTCTGAGACATGAATTGCATAGGGGCTTCTGCCTTATCATAGTGCAGAACATCTGAGTAAAGCCGCGTGCCCTCTCGGGACCGCTTCCTCTGAGCTGCCCGCCCTTCCCAGCGTCATGGGCCATGTCTCCTGAGCCAGTGACAGGCTTTCATTCCCTGCCGTGAATGCACTGAATGTATTGGGTTACTAGCACTTTCATAATGGAAGTCAAAGAATTAAAGTTCTGTGGAAGTTTTCAGACAAAGGAAAGCTAAACATTTGTCAAGTAGCTGAATGTATTCTGGTTAACCGTGACAAGAGTTGTGACAGCAGAGATGCCAGCAGAAAATGTACTGGAGCTCATACATTCTCAGCTACACTTTCCATGACTTCATAGTGCAGCCATCACGACTAAATTAAGCCACAAAAATACCTAAGTCTCAAACGGAAATTTATTTTTGTAAGTGAATTTTAAAAAAATAACTCTTTTTAAATCACAAGAAAATTAGCCTGCTGACAAGCAAAAGCTTTGGATGCTTTTTGCACTAGCTTTCCTTGTAAGTGAGTTGAGTGCACATTGGGTTTCTGCTGAAGGCAGGTTGGGAGGCAGCACTGTACACCTAAAATTTCTCAGCTTGTGTGGCCTGTGTCATGGGCTGTCTATATTGTGGTGTGCCTAGAAATGTCCAGCCATTCAAACTGCTCACTGAATGCACATGCAGAGTAACCTGAAAGCTGTACACACATTCATCATCAATACAGTGATAGCTCCATTTAATAAAAGGCCTGGCAGGCAATTTCATACCACATGAAAATACAGTAGCAGCTCCACATTAAATTCACAGTAATACCTCAGAACCGCTCTCGTAGTAGTTTTTAATGGATTGAAATTTACAGTTCAGTAAATGGCTTTAAATTACTTAAGCTAATGAAATAAACTTTACCAGTTGACTAAAAGAATGCAAGTTAATAGCTCATCTGCAGCACATGTGAAAAGTGGGCCACCAGAAAAACCTTACTGACTATGCGTTCCAAGTATCTTAAAGACTTATTTAAGAGCTTTAAAAATTATATTAGATGGATCTCATTTTTAAAATCTCATTTTTAAATTTTTCCAAGAGACTATGAACCTTACACCTAGTTAAGTAGGATGCACCCACTGGATGGGCCAGGCTAGAGCTGCTTAGGTGACTTCCTGGAAGGGACCAAGGGAAAGGAAATGGCATTTTGTAAATGTGCACCTAGGGAACACGGGTTTTAAAATAGTCACTAGTTAACTGTTCGTGTTCCAGCATAAGACAGTGAAGACCCCAGATGAGAATTGCATTCACATCCACAAAGCAGCTATCGTAAATCTGCCTCTCATCTCACCGCTTCAGGTTTACAGTATTGTAAGGGGATGACTTGGGCAGCTCTTACCGGAGGATTAAGGATGGAAATCCTTCAGCATCATTAATGGATTGCCAAGTGCATTAAAGAGGTCGAGTGGTGTGTCAGTGAAACAGTATGCAGACAGTTGTGTAAGAAAGGGCACGTGACAGGTTAAAACTACAGAAATCAAATTAGCACTGTTTTGAGTACCAAAACAAATTGATACATTTAATGCCCCTACTCCCCTCCTTATCCAGGGTATGTGCTCCCCCTTCAACACTTGCACCAAGTTAGCTAATTTCCATAGGCTAATATCCTAGGAGCTTCAAACCTTGAGCCTAGGCTGACAGAGCCAGAGCTCCCTGTTCCTCCTCCTGAAACCCTCTCCCTGTGCAAGTGTGCCTTGTCCTGGTCTCCTGCCATGCAGCTTGTGCTCCAGTCCCGTGACAAGCTGTCATTGTCTGGCTGGTCTCAGCTGAAGTCTGAAACGTCTGGAAGCATGTGTGCACACCAGTTGTTGTCCCTCCCAGTCCACCCCCCTCCAAGTGTGAGCTCCGGTTCCTTTTGTCCCATGGGCCATCGGGTCACATCGGGAAACGTGTGCTTCCCTTCCTGTGGCTTCACTTTCTATCAGAGTCAAGAGTATGTAAGAATGTTTATGAATACTGTAATATATTAATATTTGAAAGACTTTCATTAAGTGGACAATGGGAATTAACTTTCCCAAGACAAGTAAAAATTAAATCACTGATGTATACATTGCCTTTATGATCCTACTAGATTGCAAGTCTTACACCTTCCAAATTAAACCAGAAAGTTGTTTTGTAGGACTTTTAAAAATGATCTTATGTTGAAGAGATACAGGATTGATACCATGAACTCATACCATGGAATGCTTAAGACTTTTATTTTTCTAATTACACTAATAAATACAGGACTGGATTTTAGGTGTCATGCAGAAAACATGAACATTTTAATTTATGTTGCTATTTGCTAAAACAAATCAGCAGAAAATTTTGTATGTGCAAAACTACCAGGACCGAGAAGAAACGTGTACTGCTGACTAGCCTTTGGCTTGGGTTCTCGTGTGTATAAGTTGAGGGGTATTACTGACATTCAGGGTGGTATGACGGTACTAAATGTTTTCCATTAAAGTATTTTAAGATTTACGTAGGAAAAATAAAATGTCTTTCATCACATCTTCTGTGTTGAGTTGCTCTTGTGAAATGGTGATGTCTTCCAGTAACTATCTATTAGAAGTCAACTGGGTAGGGGGCCAGATGCAGTGGCTCACAACTGTAATCCCAGCTACTTGGAAGGCAGATACCAGGAGGATAGTGGTTAAGGGGAGTTTTAAGATCCCTTCTCAACCAATTAAAAGCTGAGCATGTTGGCACATGCCTATCAACTCAGCTATGCCAGAGTGGAGAATCATAGGTAGCAGGTTATCGGCCCTGGGCAAAAAAAAAATCCTGAAGACCTACTTGAAAAATAACTAAAGCAAAAAAAGGGCTGAGGGTGTGGCTCAAGTGGTAAAGCTCCTGCCTAGCATGCTCTGAGTTCAAACCCCTATACCACCACCACCAAAAAACAAAAATCTAGGTTGGGAAGATAAGCTCCTGTTAGCAGTGGCAGCTTATGAACATTTAAGAAACATAAGTCTGCAAGGGCCACACTGGAAAAATACAGCAGTTCTACCAAACCTTGCACATTTTTAATGTATGCAGTGTGACCAGTTTGGAATAAAGCTTTTATATATGATTTTTTTTTTAGCTTTAGTGCGTTGGGGGTGGGGGTCTTACTGTGTTACCCAGACTGGCCCCAAGGCTCTGGCTCAAGTGTCATGCACCCTCAGCCTCCTGAGTACATAGGCGTACAGGCACACATCACCATGCCCAGCTCTTATGTGTACTTTCTAAATAGCATTCCTCAAAGGACATCTTCCTAAAATGTGAACTTAGGAAATGTCGTATGTTTAAGATAGAGTACATCATTGACTCTCTGCATATTTTAAACCATATTAATTGATGCATACAAGCCGTTCCCTTAGTTGCCTGCCATTTTTTAGGGGCTCTTGATACTGAAGTTTCTCTGATGTGTGTATAAGAAGGGGTGTGTGTGTGTGTGTGTATGTGTGTGTGCACCTGTCTACCTTCTTATTCAAATGTTCAGTGATTTTTGAGTCCAAGGCAGATTTCTTAACTCTTGCCTCCTGGGATCCAGGAGGTAGAAAATGTGAGTTCCATATAAGGGAAAAGCTTTCAGTAACACTCACTGTATCTTTTTCCTTCCCAGCTCCAGCTCCAGTAGAGGAAAAGCTTTATAGCTGTAAGTCATCCCAGTCTACAGTTTCACAAAGACAGCTACTTCTAGGAAAGGGCTCGATTCCACATACGAGGTATTTATAGACTCTAGTTCCGATATCTATTGCTGCAGAATGTGTGTACACATTTGTGTGTGCCTCTGCCACAATACACACAAAGGCACTTATCCTACCAAAAAAATCTTAAGTGCCAGCTCAGTATAAAACTGTCTGTAGAGTAATTAAATGTCCAGGTGCAGCTGCATGGCAGATTGAATTTGCACGTCTTCCTGTGAGATGTGGTGAAATTGTATCAGCATTTAGAATAGATCTTACTGTGCAGAATACCATGCAGCTCTGTCCTGGTGCTGGAGGCCATCCTGGAGCCTGCATTATGGAAGCTGAGCAAAAACTGACCAGCAGAGCTCTGGCAAAGGGAAACAGGGAGTTCAGTGTTCCTGGGGTTGGAGGCCAGCAGAAGCAACTGGGCATCTGGCCTCCTGTCTGCTGGCCTCCTCCCCTAAAACCCCTGGTGGAGAGTAGCAGAGACCCTCACACCCCATCCCCTCCTCAGAAAGAAATGCACAGGTAGCCTCTGCACAGGCAGCTTTGCATATGGCGTCCAAATGGGCAAGCATAAGAAATGGTTTTCAAAGTGAAGAAGCTTTGGTTTTAGACATCTCTGAAGGAAAAGAGGCCTACAGCTCAGCTTCCCTACCAACTGAGGGAGCACAGCCTGAGATAGAAACTCCAGGGTCACCCTGCCCCAACTAAAGGTCACATGGAAAGTCATCTACACAGAATGCACACTTGAACCAGCACTTGGGTGCAACTGGCTTGCCTCTCACCCTAGTCTGAGATGGTCCTCCGGATCAAAACCAGACCCCTCTCTTCCAAAGTGGTGTTCACTAGCAAAAAGGCTTTTTCAGGAGCTTTTGACCTGACATCTGAGGAAAAGAAAACAACTAGACTGTAATTAGCAAAGTAGATTCTCTGCAATACCTGACTTTCAGGCATCTGAAATGGTTCTAAATAAACTCCACTAGGCTGCACCTGGCTCTCTGACGCTGGCACAGTTCCTTCATGTGTGTAGATTTGTTTCCTGGCTTTTAAAGCAAGGGTACATGAGGTGGTTGGTAACTAGTCACTTTTTTTGAGATGGGGTTTTGCTATGTGGTCTAGGATCCCCACGCCACTCCTTTCACTGATGTGTGAAATGACTGATGTTTTCCAAGCAGTATTTTTGTATTGAGAAGAAACCTGGTTATGAAGATGACACAGCAAAGTGTGCTGTAGTTATTTGAAACTTGGGGAAGAGGCAAGGTCAGTTTTACAAATTGCCATAAACAACCTGAGTTCATCTCTCCAAAAGAGAAACCTCAAAAGGATAAGTGTATGAAACACACACTAAAAAATAACCCTTGCACCAGCCATTTTGCTTTAGCAGTGTCCAACTACTGGCGGTTCATGTCGGGATCCTGCTGTGGGGAGACCTCTCCTGTCTCTGCAATTCCTCCTTCCTACAGTGCACTGCCTACTTCCTGCTGGAGGTGTGAATGGAAGCGAGTGACTGCAAGGCAAACATACTACATGACACACATTACAACACAAATTGCAGTTTTGAAACAGACAACACTTGGTACTTAGCTTAGTCCAGGAGAGCTACCACAGCCACAGGTGGTCCCCGATCTGACACCCCCAGCTGGGGCTAGTGAGGTCCAGCAAGAAGTAGATCCTATCACTGCCTGAACTCCTATGATCTCTACAGCTGACTTTTACACCTGATTGCCACAGCTGAAAGGACCCAAGAAGACATTGGCCCACCCTCCAGCCAACAGCCAACCACATGACTCCTCAGCCACCTGGCTTCTAGGCCTTCTCAGCTGTTTCAGTGCATTCACAGCAAGGCAGACCTTATTCCCTCAGAAGTCCCATCTTTGAATAGGTCAAATAGTTAGAAGTTGTGTCCTCATGTAAGTTGCTCCCCTGGTTGACTTACTGATGCTACCCAGAATATGCCTCCTGAAATAGCTTCTTAATGCCAGTTGCTCCCTGCAGCCCTCCTACCCTCCATGCTTCTGTGTGATTCCTCCACCACCACCACCATGTGTTCTCAGCACCTAACATCCTAGTGGTAACCGGATGTCTT